TTAGAGTTGCCAGAACTGTTGCCAAAAAGTAAGAAATTATTTGTAAAATGAATTCCTTGGTCAACTGAATCATAATGCGTTGTGTAGGTGTTAACACATTTCCAAACTTTTTCACATCACAAACCACCTACTTACAAAATTTGAATCCATGAACTTCCTGTTCATAATGATGGAACTTCAGAAGTTAATGATTTAAATATTGTTCACTCACTCTCTTCATAACAGTTCTAAACCTGATTTTCTTGTCCAGGAGTTACCCGCATTCATTTAAATCATATGTTACACCTTTGTTTAGGTGCTTTGCTCCAGCCCTAAGCTACATTCTATTTTGTTATATGTTAAAATACCAACTTACGGATTGATTTTTAACAGGATTCCACCACCAACTGAAATGGACTGGAAGAAACTTCTTGCTGATATGTTAGATCTGCAGGCGAACTGTTTCACAACTGTTGATATTGAAGTTTGCTTTCAGGTTAGTTAAAAATATTTTTTCCTTTGAAATAACAATAATTCTTTGTACTGCTTCTCAAGCAGAAATTTTCAGTGGCCAACTTCAATTTTAAATACAATTTTTGTTGAATGTTCCACTATTATGAAATGAGCGAACGGAGAAATTAGGATACAGAAAAAATCCAAGATTTTAACAAAAATAACACCTTCTATCTGGTCACTCATTACTTTTTGTCTGTTTGGTTAGTGGCAGTAATCAGCGGATTTTGATCTAATAGATTGCGTACTGGTCAAATATTCTGCCCTCTTCAGGTGCTGGAGAGAGAGACAGAAGTAAATGTGACTTTTACATTAGCTATTTATAGACTTTATGAAAGCCTGTAATTTATATAGGAAAGGAGGATTAGGGACTGTTGGTGTGTTTTTGCTATATAGAAAGCAAAACATTTCTTGACTAGCTGAGCCGTTATTAACCTCCCAAGAAGAACTCTTCTCCATGGAGTTAGGTAGTTATTCCCCATCATTTTCACCAATCATCTTTACCAGTGTAGCGGCTATATATAGCATATTTTCCACACTTGTGTCTTGTTAATTGTATGAAATGTAAAGTAGATGTTATTAGTTTTCAGTTGACCTTTGTTGTCTTTAATTTCATACCAAAAAGGAAACAACACTTCACCATTAAAAAATCAAGTGGTTAATGCTGTTTAAGGAAATAATCTCTGTTTACGCTGAAAGTCATATTAAACACATAAATAAAAAATGTACACTTTTTGATTGTTAAAGCAGGTGGAATATATACTTACCTTTGGTCTTTAAAAGGTTTAGGCACTGAATTTATCCAGGATGCATAAAAAGTGATATTTCATAGTTGTGCCTAAATTTAAATCACCTTAAATTTACTTACCTCTGACTTTGTGTGCTGTTGTAGTTGTAATGCCTCAGTATCACTTGTGTAAATAATAGAATGGTTTTTATTACTATGTTTGGTGTTTCAATAGATCTATATAGCAACTCTATTGGCTTCAGGCAGTAATAAGAACATAAAAGGAGCTGGAAAGTTTTTGCAAAGCCATAAGACTAAGTGGACAGATAAGAATGTGTCTTATCAACAGAGTGTGCAGCTAGTAATGCAGGCAGCTTTGGAATATTTTGACTCGTCCAGCGGTGCATCTGATCCTGCTCTATACCTTGCCGAGTAAGTCACTTCATATGGGAATTTTGAAGTGGAATTTGACTAAAGTTTGTTATCATTATTTCTATTTTAAATATTTCTTTTCATTGAGTCTCATGAATTTATTTGCCTGATGCACAGAAAGTGAACACATAGATTTGGCTATGATTTTAGAAGTTAAATATTGTAATTATCAGTCATACTTCACAGGCAAAGATATTCGTATGGTAAGGCCCAAACCATTTGTTTGTAAGTCTTTTCTATAGTAGTGTATATTTTATGCGGATATTTATTAAATTTGTAAACTGGTATATATGGTTTTTAACATAGGACGTGCCTGAACCTCATCACTGATAAAAATGAAGAAATTAATGAACAGTTGGATCTCATTGCTGCACTGCAACTTCTGAGTGATTTTGAGATGAACATGCTGCCTCTTCAAGGTACTTTTATACCTTTGTATGTTGAGTTTAATTTAGAAAACATTCATATTTCTGTTTGATTTCTGGTTTTCACGGAAAAATGATAGAGGTCTTCTGGGTTGTGTTACATGGTTTTAGATTGCGGTATAACACCATTAAAGTATCAATGTTGTTACTGTTTTTCACAGCACATGATTCAGGTTTATGCTGTAACTACTTCAATAAATAGCTGCAACATTCTGTTGCGAAAAGGGTAGATTTTATACAGATTCAGTCAGACCCCGTTAGTGCACCATACTTTGTCACTCACCAATATTGGCATTAAATCAGACTGGTGGTAAATCTAATTTTTTATGTTTTGGTGTACTTTTACTTATTCATGAATTAAAGTGGCATATGGTGTGTGAAATACTGTAGTTAGAGTATTGATGGTGAAAGAAAAGGCAAAATTGTGGTTTATGCATCTGGTCTCAAGAACTTCTGTAATAGTACCGTCCTATACAGTACTTATGTTTAATATAGTCTAATTTTTGGAGGAAAATGCACTGTGAGTTTTGTGTACAGAATTTTTCACACTCATCTGCTGACTGAGTAGGTCTGCTTTAGCTTCTTCCTTAATAACTCCATCAGTTGGTTTCCTTTCTTTGCATCCTCAAGGTTTTCTTGAGTTTAATTATTCGGTTTTGTCCGTCTAATCACAATTATATTTAAAATTTACAAATAAGATAATTAAAATATCATTTTATGTTCCACATCGAATAATCGATTTACATTTGGAACATTTTTACAACATGTTTCGGTTTCATCGAACCATCTTCAGGTGTAAAATTATATCAACAAACTTAAAACTCAATTACATTTTCTGTTGTGTAGCTTTTTGGTGATGTTTTCTGGTGATGTTCATATCCAGATTATTTTCATATATTGGAGCAAATGTATTGTTTTGAAGTGAAATGCTTTTGATGTTCTACATCGGCCTGTAAAGCAAATGATTCAAAGAAACACTAATGAATATGAGAGAATATAGAAAACAAAATGAAATAATAATAGGTGGAAAGTAAAATTAAACATACCAAAGATGATAGTGTAGACACGATGTGTCTGGAGGTGTGTAGAAGTACTAGCGTATCCGATCAACCTTCAGTCACTCCACATGTTTCATTCTCTTTCTTTTTTCTTCACTGAGAATATACTGGCGGTTGGGTTTCCCCATAAAGGGAAGAAATAATTGGAAATACTTTGCTAGCTTGTACCAGGGTATTGTTCTTTGCAGGCACACCCATCTTATTTTCTCTACAAATACTTATCATTTCCCTTTCCTCATGTTGCACAGATGCAACTAATTGTGATTCACACACGTGTATCTGCGTGTACTTAACTTTCTTACTGTGTTACCAGTCTGGCAATTATGTTTACACTGAAGTGTGTTTGTGTACTGTGTATTAATTATTCAAAGAAAATGTTTAGAGAACAACTTCATTACATTAGATTATAATTAACTATCAATAACCATCAATACTTTTGCCATTAATACGTCTATATTTAATTTTAACAACTTTCTCTGTATTGAAATTAAGGCTTTCACAGTGGCAATTATGTAGATGGCTGTCTTCTGGGTTGTTGCACCATGTAGCCTGCTAGAACTTTACAGATGATTTGTTCTGATGATGGACACAGCAAACACCTCTGAAATGTTGGTAAACTTGTACCAGAGTGTATGTTGCAGCAACCCAGAGAAAGCCATATGCTTTCCTGTGATGTTCGTGCTGGCAGATCTTGAAGGGGCACTGCATATTTTCTTTAGTTATTGAATTCACGTACCAGTTCATACCTGTTCTTGTTGCAGTGAGGTTATGTACTGAGCGACTAAGACTGGTACAGTTGTGTATCGATAACGAACCCACAGCTTATCGCAAGACACAGAGACTGCTTCAGCTTGCACATGACCTTCGCGTGTGTGGAAATGATAAATGGCAACGAGAGGGCAAAGTTCTGGTCCTTATAGCAGAGGCTGCTTTAAAAGTACAGTGAAATATCTAACCTTTAAGTATGAATCTTGAAAGATACAGTCGTTTTATTGTCTTCGTGGTTTAACCTTCTTAGGCCTGTGTAGCTCTGTGTCGACCTTTGTGTTGTACACAGTGTCTCCCAAATTTTCTGGATTGGTTTAAAAACACAATTATCTTCAAGTAATTAAATTTTTTATTGCATATTATTCGAAATAAATTCCATCTGCTGCAATACATTTATTACAATGATCTTAAAACGTTTCAAAGCATTGCTGAAAGTCCTTCTTAGGGATAATCTCCAGGTTGTCAGTTGCAGCTTTATGAATGTCTTCATTTCCAGTTTTAGTTTAAGGAACAAAAAATAGTCACAAGGTGACAAATCAGTTGAGTAAGGGGGGTGATTAAGAACCACGACACCTTTGGATGCCAAAAGCTCGCGAATAACAACGGCTTTGTGTGCCGGGGCATTTTCATGCAAGAGCGATCAACTGCCTTGTTCTCGATACTGTGGCGAACTCTTCGAATTCTTGCCATTAAACGCTTCAAAACTTCCAAGTAATAGTTTCCATTGACAGTTGTGCCTTCAGGAACAAACTCAACAGATGGAGCCAGCTTTTCAAGGGTAATTAAATCAGTACGGAAAATTTTTGGATGCACTGTGTATATTTTGTAACACTACACAGCCATGTATTGGCCTGCAATATGATATTATTATTACAAATATATTATATTTGCTGTAACAGAGCTTTACTTACATTGTGTATTTTAAATGTTTCCACAGCTTTATATATATTCATGTGTAATCAGGTCTCCCACTTCTAAAAAAGTAAAATGTAATGTGTTGCATCTGTCACAATAATATGCGAAATTTATGGTTTCATAGGTGCACGACTACCAGTTCTGTGCAGAGATATGCCAACAGCTGGTGTCAAATAGCCATATCATTGGCTGGCAGGTTGCACAGGAGTTAGGCCAGTGCCAGGAGTTTGACAACCTTCAGCTACGCTCTGACCTTCTTGCATTTGCTCTGCTGTACTGCACTGTGGATGTGATAGAGATTCTTGTCAAGACCAGGTCTGTTTGTGAGCTGTAGTAGGAATCTTACTGTACGTTACTAGTAGCTGAGCAGGTATTATAATGGTTGTAATTTCTCATGTTTTTCCTTCTTTGCAGGAAAAACCTGGATAGCATTTTCAATTATTTGTGATTTCCCACCTTGAAAAAATGTACCAAATTACCATGTATGATCTTTTTCTCCCATTTCATTTGACACATTTGAAACTGTCTCATTAATCCTAATAGTAATCAGTTTATGTGCCAATGCAGTGGAGTCCTGACTGTCTGACCTAAACAAGACAAGGATTTTTAGACAATGCTCCAGAAATCTAATTAAAATCTGCTAGTCACATTACAGAATCTACTTGCATGTACATTAAAACTTAGGTTAGAAATTTACTCACCACCATTCTGTTAACACTAATATTTTTGTGAGACTTTATCTTGTTTATGAAATAAATTGTCTGCTTCCTCTTAAAAGATCCAGTATCTTCTTAGATCTCAGAATATAATTGTTTTACTGAAATGATGAAAATTTGACAGCAGTGCTAAGAAACTGTGAAGTTTAGTAAAATGAAACTATTTTGGCAACTTTTCTGAGTGAAGTGGTGGAGGCTGTAAGAAATCCAGTAGTACAGCTGTTATCTAGAGCATCAGTTCACTTAGTGAAGGCAGTGGTAAATTAAAAAGAAATTACGCTAGTATTATATTTAATTAAGAATAGTTATTAAATAAACCATTAACGAATTGCCAAAGAATGCATACAGAATTTTCTCACTAAAATGAATTTTGGTGAGAAAAATTTTCTGGAAAGTGGCCGCTCGGAAGACCAAGAAGCAGCTGTGAGAATTACATTAAAATATTTCTTTGGGAAATAAGTTGTGAAGATGGGAGGTTGGTGAAACTGGCTTAGGATTTTTTCCAGTGTAGTGCTCAGACTTTGATTTCTGCTGCCTGAGAGTTGAATGGTTGGAGATGAAAAAAATCTCTTTCAGAATCTTTGTGTGTTACTCTGTCATGGAAGATATCGGTGGAATCATAATAAGTTACCGAAACCTGTTGTGTATCTGTGACTTTCTCAGTGAATTTTTAGTCACTGTTGTGTTTGATTTCCATACCATGTGATACTCATAAAATGTAAAAGTAATTTTGCAAAGAACAATGTGATTATACAGGTCTTTGCTGCAGGCAGAACTCCTGCAAGGTATGATCTACAATAAAATGAAACATGACCCTGCTACTGCAGAGGAAGAAGAGTTCTCGGATGCTCTGACATCGGTGAGTTCGGACGTAATAGAGTAAAACAAATCTTAATCTTATTGCAATCTGAAGATATAGTTTTGTTCAATTTTTAATAATTATTGGTAGCTTATACTGAAACAATTTAAACATTTGTTCTCATGTGGAATGACCTATTGTGACAACATTACGTAAAGAAAATCTCAACAGAACTTATGTGAAGAGGTTGTTAAAATTATCTGATCTTAATTAAAATTGAATTGTGAGATTTTAGGTCCTTTTGGTGGTAAAGACATTGTTGTTCTTTTGGGTTGTGACTTCATGTGGACTTGTAGGTGGGTACCAACATTTTGGAGGAACATACTGTCTTCATATCCAGGGCCGAAGTGGAGATCCTGCTAGTTATAGACAGAAAAATATGATCTGACATGCGAATAATTTTAATGATTATAAGTTAAGCTCAAACCTTTTTAAAAAGTATTTGAGGTTTAGAGAATAATTTTAATATTTGTTCATTGCATTTGGTACTTTTTTTGTTTTGCAGCCCCTTTCTCCGAGTCGGGAGTTTCCTGGTCCGATGCGTGTAGTAGAAGACTTGACAGAAATTACCAAAAAAGCGACATATGGACTTCTGAAAAATATAGGCAACAACAACTTCTGGAAAACTTCATTTAGGTATAAAAAGTGGTGTATTTGTTTGTCGTTAGAAACTTCACGTCATTACTATCTGTTGGAATCGTTTTTTTTTTAAAAAAAACAGTCTGTATGCATTGCATTAAGTTTTATACAAAATCCTAGGTTTTCGTGATTTTCCAACTACAATCGGAACCCGTTTGTCACTACCGTCACTGTTAACACACAGAAGAACAGTAATTCGGTGTTTTGCACGTATTCCCCCGTGGCAAGATTCACCTTTCAATGCCAGAGTCCTATCCGGGAGGGCGTTGTAGAAAAGTCCGGTCTCATCCGCATTATAAATGTCCCGCGGCTCATATCCCTCCAGCAGTGTTGGCAGTCTCTCGAGCCACAGCTCCGTTATTTCCACATCCACAGCAGCACTTTCGCCTTTCCTTTGTCCTTGTAATAAAAGCATTTGTGAAGAAATTCACAGTGCACATGCCATTTGGCATCGCTGGAACGAAATATGAGTGCACCCTAATTAAAATCGTAAAATTTCTGACAATGAGCACCGCCATTCACTCCAACTATCACCCCTGCACCGCTGACCCTCATTCCAAAAGAATGTGCTGGTTGGGCGACATAACAGGTTACCGCTACTGTGTATTCCAAAAACATTGTGCGTCTTTCGGAATTAAATTCTAAAAATATCACGTAAATTTCGTTACAATTTCTCAGAAACGATCATTGCGGGAAAATTGTTGGCCGGGACTAAGATTTTTGAACGATCGATGCGATAAAACGATAGTTCGAGGAACGATAGAAGCGGGAAAATGTAACATTATTTTATATGGGATGTATTCGGGACCGAACAAAACGGACGATGCATCCGGGAAAACGATAGTTCCGGGAACGATGGATAGAGGTTTCACTGTAGTCGAGTTTTAAAAATGTAAGTAGTGTATGTCTATAAATAATTTGCGCATATGTTACATTTTCATGGTTTTATTTAATTTTTGTGGATTTTATCTAGGGAAATATATCTCAAACAACCCAGATAATTGGGAGTCTGCTGTACACTCATGTTAACATTAGGTATATATTGCTTCCTTATTCCCAGTTTGTAGTGACGTTTGTTAATATGTTTCAGTTGGATGCAGAGAAACATGTCAGATGTTGAAATAACGGAGAGTAATCGGCTCATCACGTCACAAGGCTTTCCGGCATTCTATTCTTCACTGGCACCTGAATGCCACATGAGCTCGTTCTGCACAAAATATGATAGGTTTTCAGAACCAGACGTTTCCAACCCAATTGTGCAGCTCGGTCAGGCGTTGCTTCGGACCATTCTGCTCCAGGGCACAGCCTCAGAAGGGACTTTCAGTGATTGCACTAAAGGTAATTCTACTTTCCCCATGATGAGAATATGTTTATCGTTTTGAGACCAAAGCTTATCTGAATAAGATTTAAGAATTTAGTCCATACCTCAAAGAAAACACAACACTTTACCACTTTAACAGAGATCAGTTGGTGCTGTTTAAGGAAATTATTGCTGTTTACTCTGAAAATCGTACAGGGCCCATGAAGACAACATGCACAATTATTTATTTTTAAAGAAGGTGGTATTTGGTACATATAGTATCACTCAGTTTAATTAATTTTTGTGTTCCATTTTGTTTAAGTATATACATTCAGTTTTATGACATATTTTAATGAAATGTTATCTACACTACTTTTATGATTACTGCCATCTGGAAGTTTTGTTCACTTTAATTTTAACATTTTGAGTTTATCTGTTGTATCAATACTGTCTGTTTCATTTATCCAATTTGCTGGTCATTATCAGCTTTAAGAAGCCACCTTACAAAAACTGTAGTATCATGATCAATTTTTCAGTGTTCAGCAGTTATTGGGTCATTGTTTTGGAGGAGCTTGCTGCCTTCATCATATTGGTGATGAAGTATTCATTGCCCTGATGATGGAGGCAGTAAGCTCCTCTGAAAGATCAATCAGTGTCTACTAGACACTCCACGGTGCTACATCTCAGGAGAGAATCATCTTTATGCTTATCACCATGAGAACTTGAGATCTTATCTGAAACAAATCAGATCAGATTTTCAGCCTGAGATCTCAGTCCCATGTGTATAAGAATTTGAGAACATTTATTTTGTGCAATTATGAAATTTGTTGTGTTTGCAGTTTTGTTACAACTTTCTGAGCAGTTTCTTGCTGAAGACAGCTGTTTGGGACTTGGACATCTGTTTCATCTGGATGATTTGACATTATCTGACTCCTGTTTCAAGAACGTACCATGTACTTCCATAGTGTTGCAGCTGGCCATGTATTACTATGCTATTCAAGGCTACAAACAATTACAAAATCTCACAGCAGAAGACAGAAACAGAGAAGAAGATGTTTACCTTTATGCTCCAAATGAGGTATGAAGTGGTATAAAAATTTGTACCATGTCAACCTTTTACATGCTATGGATGTAATATATTGTCTCAGAACCATATTTATTTGTATTTCAGGCAAACCAGTTGCTTGTTACTATGAAATGAATTTTTGTGTGATGATTGACATTTCTTGGTAAATGAAATGTGACTTCATCACTGTTTTTCTCTACTGCAATTGCAGTGCACTCGTTTACAGCTTTAAATTTGTTTCTACTTGCCGTACATATTTCATCATTGTGTATGCTTTGTGTTTTTAGAATAAATTGTTAAATGTATGAAGATAATTTATAATCACTCTGTGTAAGTGTGTAATAAATAATATGAAAATTTTTAAAAGCTTAGGCATCTGGTAAGACAATAGCAAATAGAAATGAAGAAATTAGGAGAAGAATAAATTGTGGAAATGCTTGGTTTTTTTTGTTATCACCACTATTATCATCTTGTCCACTTCCAAAAACACTAAAGATTTGGAGATATAAAACTTTTTTTTTTCACTTGTTTTGTGTGGTTCTGAAAATGGTCTCTTACTCTGAGGGAGAAATGTAGTGCGTAGATATACGATGTCTTTCCTTACAGTTAGTGGAGCATGTGGCTGGACTGGCATCAAAACACGAGATGCTAGACGTGTGGGCTCAGTTACTTGTGAAATACAGGAGCTTGCTGGTGGACTTCCAACAGGGGCAACAGTTACAGAGTTTGGGATGTGGTGTTGACCTGCAGCGCTTCACTCATGATATGCCATATCAGCAGGACTCGATCATAGGCCTGGCCATGTAAGTAAACAATTGTATCCTTATCATGCAGATTCAGGTGTCAAGGAAATCCTTTTTCCAGAAGTTACTGAATTAGGTTATGAAGATAAGAACTTGATGTACTGACCGTGGATGTCCAGGAAGTGACAGATGGCCCTATTCATTTCCTGGATGCTGATGTTTAAAGGAGACTGGATGACTCCTTGGGACATTGTTTACTCACATCAGTTGATGTCTGAATACCAGGTCTTATTATCTGGCATACATGCAGGCTATGCTCTCTGCCCTCGTTTACAGGGCCAAGGCTATCTTAGATACCGACATTCTTCAACAAGGACTAGGATACGTTGCTAACACCTTCCTGGGCAATGGCTACAGTATATGGCAGGTTCTCCAGGCTCCCAGTCTGTGTGATGGTCCCACTACTGTGTCGAGAGTATCCTACTTAGTGGCATTTTCAATCTTTGTCAGCACTCCCTTACACTGCATCAGGAGGGTGTTATCCAAGGACATGACCAAGACAGTGCTGCTGAGGTTTCTTGAGCACATCAAGGATGAAATGGCCTTAGAAATGCCAGGTGTATGTAGTATTCCTTGTGAGAGTGGGGAGATGCACATTGGACAAACTAGAAATTGAGTTCAGTCAGAGGTCAAAGAACGCCACGAACATGTCCTTATCTGCAACCTGAAGAAGTCTGCTGTGGCTGAACATTGCAGCATAATCCTGGGTCATTGTATCCACCTGTAGAACACTGGAATTTGGGCCAAAAAATCCAGGTGCATGGACCAGATCATCAGTAGTTTTGTTACACCCACATACAAATCAGTTTCTATATAACGGAGTGTTGATTAGATTTTTGAGGTCCATTTTCTTATCGTATGACAATCCACTGGATCCAGTTTATTTTGTTTAATTTTTTGATTATCTGGACTTAATGCAAGATAGGAATAAAAAGGTTTAATATGTTTTATGAAGTTATTTTAATCTTATGTTGGAATTTGTCTGATTTACAGGACTGTTGATACTGAAAAGTTCTTCTTTGCTGTGAGGCTTGGATCCCGGCATGGTGTTCCCCTAAGAGAGATTGTAGCAAGACATCTAACGTCATTGTTACTAAACAGTGACAGGATTGCGCTGTCAGAGCTGACAGCGCACCTCGCTAACCCACAGTTGAAAGAACTTCTCAGGACCTCTCCATATTTTGTGTGTGACAGGTAGCAATCAGTTAGATAACCAGTTCCACTTTAGGTGGGTAACAAATCTTGCATAAAACAGTTGATAACATGATAATAAATTGAATACAAACATCACAGTGAAATGTTTACACTCATACTTACTACTTAGGAGGTCTCCAGTGTAAATGTTTGCCAGGAGACCAGCTTTCATAACAAACGTCCCCCTTTGAGGTCCATTTATTTTAACATTTCTTCCTGTGAGATCCAGTTTTACAGGAACGTTGTTGGACACTGTCCACTCTCTCAGGTATATTTGATACATGTAAAGTTTCAAGAGTTAGCTGTACTCCTGTCTTTGGTGATTGATTATCGTGATACTGAAATTTTCTTCTGTTATTAGTGACAATGGTCAGAATCAAACCCGGCATCTTCAAATTGTAACCGGTGTTTAGTGTTCTGCCTCAGAATTTGAAAGGTCCCTGGTTGGATCCTGATCGTCTGTGTCTGAGACACAGGACTTTTCTGACAAAGGTTTTGGGTTCAAGACTGGCTGTTTCTGTATGTTTTTTCTTTTTTAATTTGTGAAAGAGGTAGAGATTTGTGAACATGGGGATTATAAGGTCGGTACCATGATTAATAGCTGATTCTAAGCTTTAAATGAATAAAACAATATGTGCTCCTATTTTAGAATTGTATCACCGTATCATACTTTCAGGTTGGTGCAGTATGCATACCCAAGCATAGAGGGAACGGACCATCAAATGCTTTTGTTGTACTATACAGTGTTGCAGTCTATTGCAGAAGATTATACCACATACAGCTTAACACCTAAAGAACACATGAAATTGCTGCGGAAAGTCAAAGCGGCGTCGTCTGGTAAGTAAGTTATAGTGCTGTATATGGTATTTAAAATTAGAGAGGTATTGACATTTGTGTTGAATTTTCTGTGCTGATGAAACTAGTGAAGCTGATGAGACTTATAATGAAGTATAGCATATAATTTGGTTGCATGTGGCCCACTGATGTGTTTTGTGCAGTCCATATGCATTTGTTATAATATTGTGTTACTTTGAAAAATAGAAAAGAATGACCTGATATCATACAACCCTTGTTAATATTGTCAGTATTTGGCAGTAACTATTACTTTGAGCTAGGACATGTGATATTGATGGGGATGCAGATTTTGATAAAGAAAATTAAGTAATGTACAAACATTTTTCCATGGTTTTTAAAAAAAAATTCCCTCATTTCTAACTTTCAGGCCTATGAATCTATAAGAAAAAGGGTGAACATGGCTGCAGATCTGGAAATGGTTATGAATCTCTTTTGTTTTGAGAAACAGGTCTAAGAAGATCAGGATGGTTATGAATCTCTTTTGTTTTGAGAGACAGGTCTAAGAAGCGAATGGAATTTAATGGGATTCACCAGTCTCTGGTCTCTGCTGATGATGTTGATATCTTGGGTCAAAAGACAAATTGCAATGAAGAAGAACTTGGATGTTCTGTTAACCCATATTAATACCATTGAAGTATGCAGAATTGTAGATGACATGTTTGAAAAAAATTTTGTGTTCAGTTGGAACACATTTCCATACTCTTGTACTATTTCGGGGACCTTATGTATTCTACTGTTCATACAAAAAACCCAAGCCAGACTCATCCTCTCATTAAATGCATTTATATAGTGAAATAATAGCCCCACCCCTTTTTTTTTCTTAGACATAGATTACAAAAAGATGGTGGATCCATCTAACAACATCATAGAAGTTTTTCTACCTGCATTGGAAAGGAATAATATAGGACTAATTTCCAAACTGCTGAAGAGTATGCCAACATCGATCAAGTGGTCGATTCAAACAGGAGAACTGTATTCAGCTTGGGCACAGAAGGAATTCTTCAAGGTAAATTTTGAGTAGTGAGCATTGAGAGCGTATCGTGTCTCTGTGAATGATGAATACCGATAATACATAATATGGACGTGTGTTGTTAAATTTTAATGTCATTCTGTAGTCAGAAGGGGGGGTGTGAATGGTATAATGTATAGTGTAAAGGCTGTGCCACTCTAATGCCAACCTAAACTTCACATAATGCACTCAGTTCTCTCAGATTGGATTCTTGTGAGTGTGTCATTGCAGTGTAACCATTACATCTGGTGTGGCAGAAATTCCTAATTTGTCTGTCTAGGTGTAATCACCCAAACAATATTCAGTGATGAATGTGAACTGTGAAGCTCTTAGTTATATTTTTTAATTTTTAATTTCTCATCAGCACTTTGTTCTCAGACTTGTTTATGTAGCAGACACCAAAATTATTTAATTTTGATTGTGATCTTAACAGATTCCAATCACCAGTGATCTTGTGCTAACCAAACAGTGGCTTCAACAATATGAAGTCTGCAGTGCATATTTCAACAAAATGGCAGCAGCAGATATTCTCAGTTTTGTTAAGGGGACATGCTTCACTGAACGTGGTGTGGATGCGATTTCCTTAGAATGCAGAACAGCCATTGTTACTCAAGCCAAGGAATATTGCCAGCTGAAGATAACTAATCAACTGAAAGACGAAGAGTAAGTCAAAAATTCCTAATTGTGTAATTAAATAATTCAAATACGTATGGAGTGAATGCAAATACTCGCTTGGTAGCTAACAACAAATTTGTCTTTCTATTGACCTCAGGTGGGAAAGTTGCCATAGGTGTGGTGCTTAAAATGTGTGTATTTCTTATGGCAAGAAATAATTTGGTCAGAAAAGTATACATAAGTATTTGTCATTGGAAATGTGATTACAGTTAGCTGTGATAAGTGATGTTCAGAATTTTAGAACACATTTGATGCAGCTGTTTGGTCATCGTGAATAAGGTTTTCCAATTGCGACACCAGGTGCCTTTCCCATGTTTGTATATTTACTATAGTCATCGTGGACAAAGTATCGTAGTACCTGAGCTAGGATAAAGGATAGTAATATCACCCGCTTAGAAACTAATACCAAGCATAATGGGTATAAATAATGTGTCTGGAGATGGCTGTCTTCTGGGTTGTTGCGCCATGTAGTCTGGTAGAAGTTTGCCAACATTTCAGGGGTCCTTGCTGCCTTAATCATCAGGGCAATGAGTATTCAACAACCCAGAAGACAGCCATCTTCAGATTTAATGCTGTGCAAACCTCAGATCTTACTGTGTTTGTTGTTATGTGTATTCTAATTTGTAATTGTGATTGTAAGCACATCTTGTTTTATACGTAGGTTAGTTATTTGGTTCACAGTTCCAATGATCCTTTTATTCTTGTGTATTTATTTATATCCTTGTGATGTAGGATGGTGAATGGTCTTCAGAGGAAAGTGAGTGATGAACAGATGAATTAATGAATGAAGAAAATGTAATTAACAAGCCTGCTTGTTAGTAATAATTTGAATCAACTAACCCTCATGAAAGTGTCATGTTTCTGCATTTATTTTCTAGAGATGAATGGAATGAGGCAGTAAAAACTTTGAATCAATGGTTGGCTCATCTGGAAATTATAAACTCTATGGAAGCTTTAGAATTTTGCAGAAGTTCAAAGCAACAAGGCCAGCATCTCTTCAGGTAACATAAGTCTTTCTAATTGGATTTTTGGGGTCCGCAGTGACCTTGTTCCGCTTGGTCGCTGGGACTGTGGGTTCAAATCCCACTCAAGCTATGGATGTTTGTCCGCGTTTTTCGGTGTTGTGCTGTCCTGTGTACAGGTAGAGGCCTTGCGACGGGCCGATCCCTCGTCCAAGGAGTCCTACCAAATGTCCATAGATCGAGCCAACGAAAAGTTGGGACCCGCAGTTGCTAATAATCCAGCATGGAACTTGTTAATGCCTTGTATCTTATTTTTTAATTAGGTTGTTTGATCTGTCAATGGGAGAACCTAGCCATATCAAACAACTCCTGCCATTGGCTGTGACAAGTGACATACCACTGGATTCTCTGAAAATCTTTATCTCACTCTTACCAACACCTGAAAAAAGATTAGAGCATTACCTTGGTAATTTGCTGAGGGAAGCTATTGACAAAATCAGGTAAGTGTCCCAGATACTAAAACCATCAGCAATCCAAACTTTTGTTATTACGCTACTAAATGGAGGTTTGTCCTATGGGCACTCCCACCTTTGAAAAGGAATTCTTTCTCAAGCTGACAGAGCCACAAACTTCAAAAGGCCATACTTGGAGTCATTAAAAATGAAAGGCGATTCATTTGTATAGTTTCATTACAAACATTTCCTTTTTAAGTGAAAAATGTCCTCATGTATTGCCATTACTTGTGTTACATACTACAGGTGTGGAAGTGAACCTCAGGGATCTGAGTTGCTGTCTGCAGTCTTGCGAAGGATGCACGAAAATTCACAGTATGACACCGGCGTAGTGCCACAGGAAATTGAAGCATTATGTGGGGACACAAGTCTGATCCCAGAAATAAGACTTCAGGCATTAGAATTGCTGCAGGTATAAAGGAGATGGTTCTTATTTTAAATTATTATTAACCTTGTGAATGTATGCCACATACATAATTATCACCCTTACATAATGGTAGCACCATATTGTTACGATCATCCTCAACAAATGTAGGTGTCAATGGTTTGTTATGGGTATTACAGAACACAATCTTTACATTCTTCAAACCATTTTTTTCCCCTGTGGGTTAATTTTTTGTATCCTATTGTAAGTCATTCTATCAGTCTGTTTCCAAGTCTCTTCCTTTTTAATTCTGTAATTATTTCTTCGTGAATATAATGACCGAGAATGAAATACTAAGAAATGAACAGAAAGGTGTAATATCTGAAGGCAAAATCTGAAAGTAGAAACACAGGAACATGGCTGTCTTCTGGGCTGTTGTACCAGAAGTTTACTGACATTTTACAGATGTTTGCTGCCTCCATTATCAAGACTCAGATATCTACCCTGTCCATCTCCTGGATTTAATTTCCATATTAATCCTTTAAAGACCATTGGTAATTATATGTGCCACCTGCTTTAACAGTCAGAAAATAACCACTGTGCCTTTATTGGTGTAGTACAATTCTTAGTATTAGCAGATATAATTTCCTTAAACAGTATTAATCGTATGACCTTTTTAATGGTGAAGTGTTGTTTTCTTTGCAGTACGGACTGAATTCTTAAATATTATTTAGACGAGGTTCGTCTTCAAAGAGTTAATACTAGGTGACCTGTCTGAACTGTAAGATTGCTCTTAATGATTTTGGTGCTTGGTAAGAAGGGCATAAGTCAGTGCAAGACTCGGGCCTTTCTTACACCAAGTATCTGAATATCCTCTGTTCCTCAATTATTTCTTCTTTCTTCAGTCTAACTATTTTCTTAGGCACCTTTCATTATGTTAAATGTATGTTATTTCCTCATATCAGGCTTCACAGCATGGTAAAACAACTGGTAAAATTATTTTATGTATACATATGAAAACTAAACTAACGTTATGGTAGCAGAATTCGGAGGTTCAACGTCATTAACAATGTTGCAGTATTTAGTTGGCGTAATGTAGACTTTTTCAAAACTTTACTCATACGGTCTAAGTTAAAGTAATATTCATTAATTAATTCTTTGTGTTTAGAGCATGAAGCCACGTGAGTCAAGAAGCGATGCGATGCTGTATCACCATACTCAGGCGACTGTTGCCTTGTTGTGGCCACATTCACCCGTTGATTTTCAAGAGTCAGACCTTGAAACTCCGGGGTCTTGCGCACGTCTGTTCGGCACATTCTTGAAAAATGCGCACACATGGCAACAAATAATGATCCTCAAGGAGCTCTTGAACAAGTTGCCGCAGTTCCTGGACTCTGATTTCAGGTGACTATATATTTATTTCATCAGATCTTAAGGTTGGCTTTCAGGAATAAACTCCCAGAGTTAAAGCAGATATGGTGAGACATGGGAAAATGTGTGCAGTGAGCTGATAACTTACAAAGACCATAAATTTGGGTTGCCTGAATAGTACTACTACATATAGTGAGGCAGTAGAATGATTAAGAATCCTTTTACTGTGTGTAGTCACCGTCTCCGTTTTGTTTATAATGAAACGACTCTTTTCCTTGTTGTTTTATATCTAGTGGTGAGACATCAGCAAATCCTTGGATACAGCTCATACACAAAATGTTGATTTCTGAAGACAGAAATGTAGATGAGATGGAAAGTGTACTCGAAGATATCTTTCAACATAATAGCTTCTCACCAGTTGTAAGTAATTGTTACTCTGTGTGCGCTAGAATATATAGTTCATAGCAGAAACATTGGGTATTACTCCTTCCAATATAGATCATAATGGTAAGCTAGAGTATGAAAGTTTCAAATAAATTTATCTCTCATTGATGTTCACGTTCACTTGTTGCACATATGAATCTGTTGGAACTTTTAATAAGCATAATACAAAACAAAATTCCTTATAGAAACAACTGATAGCAAGCATTAAAGAGTAGACGCACAATGGACTAAGATAGAAGATTAAATAATTTGAAAACAGTTTTTAAATTTTCATTCATCAGCAATCACTTGATGGAAGTGATTCCAGAAGAAAACTTACACGTCTGTACAATATTGTAAGATGGGGAAAAGTTGTGTTTAACAGAATAACAACAAGAAAAATGATGAGTAAAATCTGACTTTGTCGCAGCACATTCAGCAGCTGGTCTCTGCGACCGAAGAATCCACAAATCTCTCGTTTCTGCTGTTGATCTGTCTGCTGTCAGACCACCCATCTATGCACACCACAGCAACAAGTCTCATAAAGAAACATCTGCATGTGAGTTTTATGTTATTTACATCGGATTGTGCTTCCAGATGTGATTTTGTATCAGTTGATCTTAATGTTCAGGTACTAACTTCATGATACAGGAACTTCCTTGGAAAGTTGGTAGTTGCTAAGCTGGTCCGGAAATAAATCTCACGCTTGTATACGACTCAAATGGTCATCAAGTTGTTCACAGAAGCCCTATCCTCAGTGAGTCACATCCAGGGCACACTTCTACATCCTGTTTCTCTAAAAGATAAATATATCCACCCATCTTTGTCAGCATATCCCAATTGATAATTTCCTTCGTTTTACAAAGTAATGTTAAGATCTGTAATTTATGTCAAGTATGCTTTACATCCTTTATCTATCGCAGTTTAATCAGTGAATATATGGAGTACAAATTATGAAACATAAGTAACTTTCTCCAGCTTATTGCTACTTCCTGTTTATTGCGTTTATACATTCTCTTCAGCTTGTTTTGAAACGCCTCTATCTTCTTTTAGGCCGAGTACTAAAATCAACATTTCAGGCACACCTAGAGTGGGAAATTCTTTGAATCTGATGTTAGAATTCAAAAGTTTGCAGTGCATGTAGTTCAACTGTATTCAGTGTAGAATGTGATCGAGTTAATAAGGAATGTTTTCCTCCGCAGGTGGACAGTCCCAGATTAAGTGGTCGGCTGCTGTCTCTTCTGCTTCAGAAGGGCCTGACTCCTGCCCTGATTGCAACTCCTGCATACCCTCAGATGATCGAGCATATGGTGTTACGAGGCGCCGATGATCTGCCATCATGGAACACTGTAGCCAATCAGCTTGTGGCTGCTGGCAATGTAGCTGAAGCAGGAACTACACTTTTGCTTCACATGGGTGTGTCACCTGCTCTGGCTGTGTTCTCATCTGCTCTAACACTTGCCAAATCAACATTCCCTGAAGAATAAGGTCTACAGAAAGGGCACAAAACTTCCAGGTATTAATAATAAATAAAATCCTTGTATATTATTATTAGTGCTCTTGTGTTCTGGAGTAAACATCCTCCATAGGAGTTCTCAAGTATGGCCATCAGATGTTTTCTCATGAATGACATGAAATGTTCAAGTAATTACATCTCACCCATTAAATGTTAGGATAGAACACGTCAGCCATGCAGAGAAACGTGTTATGAAATATGAAAAGACTGTTCTAACTAGACAAATCATATTTGCTTTAATTAGCCAAGGGGAGAAATATTTGAATTTCTACCATTCCAATATTTATGACAGGCAAGGAAATTGTCAGGTAGTATGCCAAATAATTATAAATTCAGTCCATATGTACAGTACACGACTGTAATCTTGAGACTTGCGAGGAACGCAGGAAGTCCGAAGCGTTAAAGGCAGACGCTATCTTTCCTCCTTCACCCCACTTCCTCACTCTGTAAGTCACAAGATTACAGTCGCGGACTATAGGTTAAATGCAATCAGAGTAAACATGGTAATGTAACACTGTGGCACACAATTCAAATCAGTCATTTTCAGTCATCATTAATAAACTTTGTTCGTAGTGCAGTTATGTTGTAGTTGAAATCTCTGCTGTAAGGTTTATGCAGAACACCTGCTGCGTGTGTTAACTGGAGGGCACAGTCAGGATGTGCTGTGCCTGGTAGTAATGTACACTCACGCTCAAAAATGGCTGCTAGACCATCCAAGAGTTCAATGAAACCAAATGATATTGCTGCACGTCGCACTCTGTTGAGTTCCTGTAACGGTAGAATAAAATGACGATTTCAAATTCTGTCTTTTCTAGCTAACTAACTAACTATTTGGCTTACCGAACCTGAAGGTTCATCACCGAATTAACCAAACCACCAGACCCTGTCCTGGGCCAACAAAATCCAGTATCCTTCGACTCCTATCTCCCATATATCCTGCCTGAGATTATCCTCCCAAGTGGTCTCTTCCCCTCAGGCTTCCCAACCAATACCTGGTGCACACCTCTTGTCCCATCCATGCACGCTACATGTCCCGCCCCTGTCTTTTCTACTGTTTCATATATATGATTGTTATAAAATGAAGACCCTCTAATAGATTGCATTCCCTGCTCAGGACAGGGATTTGAGATTTCAGGGTGGGGGGATGTTTCTTGTCAACCCAGTAATGAACCTTCAGGATCCATAAATGATTGTGAATCTATTGGACCGTTGAATAACTGTTAGCTTCTCGAGAAGGGCTGTTCCTTGTAGTTAATTAGTTTTATTGCGTAAAATGTAATGTAAATTGTTATTTCCAGCTCCTACAAAACCATTTGTGGTTTCTTCCTACCTCCTCCTGTTGTGTGTTGAAGAGGTAACTAACTTCTTGATGCTTCTTGGTGGAAGTGTTCATTTCAGAATATTGGTTTGTTTCCATGTAAAATAGATGAATCTGGGGTTATAGTCTGTGTGGAGGATTACATTTACCCACTGAGTTGAAATTAACCTTTGTCTTTCCAATGTACTGAGATAGTGAATGTGAACTGTGTATGTAGAAGTCATTTTGTGCCATGTGATGGTATGTTAAATAATGATTTTATAGCCAACAATTCTGTCCGTTAAATTGAGCAAGAACGTTATGAGGGGGCCAGGTATAGTAAAGACTAATAATCGTCATACTATCGCCAAAGACAGAGTAGGTGTCTCCCTCTATACCTGATGATGAAGAAAGATCCATCCTTCTGAATGCTGACTTTTTAAGACACTTTAAAAATTTCAACAGATGATGGATAAAGTTCAGAATAAGGAAAGCAATAATATAACACCATGCCAAAGAAAATCAGAGAAGAACAAATTCTCTCTTCAAATTTTGTTATAAAAATATATTCATTAGGTCCATGATATTTGAATGCTGCCTTGTAACTCCTTCCATGTCCTTTGTTTATTTGAAAACCTGCAAGTATATTTTCGTAATCGCCTATAATTAGCAATCCTGAAAAGATGGAGTACTTATGCCAGACTATTCAGAGAGGGCAGGAGATATTTATTTCACTGATGTAGCGCATCTAGTAAATTATGTATAATTGTTCTAAGTGAGATATGTCACGTGTAACATGGAAAGGATAAATGTCTACAATTTAATATACTAACCTTGTAAAACTGTTGTGTTTTGTCAGGCAGTTTACGTGCATGTCGAAGTATTTTCTGTATGTCTGACTGAAGTCCCGCTTGCCGTATCCACACGACACAGTTTTGAGAATAACTCCTTTTTTCGAGTGGGCGGACAGGAAATGAAGGTTCAAGCTCATTTTCTTGGTTCATAGAATGAAAGTCTTCCAAAGAGCCCAGTCTGTTGAGATCTCCCAGCCATGGTACAACATTTGATCCTGGTTCTAGGATCGTTAGCATCAAGTTTGACTTCTTCTTGCTGTCAGCCCATGAATAAACAAATCCAAACCACTCCTCAGCTAAAACGCAGAGTGCTGCCATGTTTTCCACTTTCAGTGCACCATGCAGTAATACACAAAATGACGGTATTTTTCCTTCGTCTACCATAGATTCATCTTCAGAATCTACTTCTACTTTCACTCCTGCTGATATACCTGCAAGATAAATGTGGAAAATTTATAAAGCAATGGCCAATCCTACATTCCTTTGTGGAAGCAAAATAAGTTAAGTAAAACAAAGATGATGGTAACATTCAGTGAACTCAGACTACGCACAATTAAAAAAAAATAATGTATGAACGGAATTGAATAAATACTTGGTATATGGAAGAATAAGTGGCTAGAGTGTACACCACTGTACCTTAACAGAACAGACAATGAGAAACTCCCACAACTCTCTTTTCAATACAAACCCAAAGGATGGAAATGAAATTGGAACAGGCCTGTGTTTATACCAAGGACAGTAAATGAAGGAGGAGGAATGTTAACATTCAGAACTGTTACAATTAGATAGGCATTAATAGCAGTAGCGTTACAAGTATTGGGTCTGTTATGTTGTGGTTATTACAAGACAGAATCCTGCCATCGTTCTAAAGATTTTTTGGGAGGAGCGGGATTCTATCTGAGCTCATATTTCAACACATTTTTTCACTTTCTTGTGTACAAAATATTTTCTTAGTAAAATTGTAGTTCCGTCTAAAAGCCGTTAAGCTGGCATCGATCTCGTAAAACACATTTCAGCTGATATCAACTATTGTCATTTTTTATGATTATTTTTCTTAGATAACAGGAGAAGATAATAGTGTTAATAACTCACGAGCCGGGATGGGTTAAAATTTTTAAAAGGATGAAGCATGAATGACTTCTCACCTCTATCTTTATGCAAGGTTAAGACTGCATGGAGTTTCATTGCAACAAGTTTATATTTGGTTTGTAAGGATATAGAATTTAGCTCAAAAGAAATGTTTTTCTGGAGTTAGGTTTTCTGTTGTTGTGTTTGTGTCACTTCCGCAGAAAACCCACAAAATTTGTCCATATCTTCCAGTTGAAGGCGTTTCTGTTATTTGCTGGCAATCTCAACAGATG